AAATAATCTCAGAAATTTTGTTTTATTGCACAGTTGTCAGAAAGACAAAAGGATGAAGTAGGTAGAGATCTGGACAATACTCTGATACACAAGCTTGCAAGTAAACTTAGCAATTGTCCTCTGCTAGGTTTTGCCTTCATGGACAACCTGGACCAATAAAATCTAAGTGTCTTCAGCCAAATGATTTAGCTTCACTGAATACCCCTGGACTCTAAAGAATTCTCCTTCCTTGAGACTGAGTCCTGTGTTAGTAGCACAAATTTGAAACTAGCAGATTGTTTCCTTTTTAAGGTAGCAGGATTGGGAAGAACCTCCTCCTCCTCCTCCTCCTCCTCCTCCTCCTCCTCCCCCTCTCCCTCCCCTCCCCCTCCTCCTCCTCCTTTTCCTCCTTCACTGAACTTACAATGCTCTCTATGTATGCTCTATTGGTCCATCTACCAAAAGGGGGTGGGGAGAGTAGGACAGAATTTCATCATGGGAAAAAAATCTCAAAGTCAGGCTGTATGACTGCCAGGTATGTTCTGGAAGAGAAGACACATCCATGGATAGGAAACATGAGTTGATTCCTCATGTTCATCTTCAGATTCTGTGCTCTGAAGTTTGCCTGCTCTTTTTGTGGTGTGGATATACCACATTGGAAGGGTAAGAGTCTCTTCTGGTCAACATCTTCCTTTTGTATAGAAGCTGAGGTTTCTATGAGTGTGCCAGCTCTGAGAATTTTAAACAAAGAGGTGGGTGGGAAAATATCCTAGGCAACACGGAGCTGTCCAGCAGTCAAGGAGCTGCATCAATGAAGTCCCAGCTAATGAGACTTAGTGTAGAAGTTTGAAACAAGGATTCAGCTAGGCCATTCTTTACCAGGGAGAAGAGTGTGTGTGCCTGCATGTATACAAGTTTCCTCTCTGAGATTTCAGACATTCACATCAGCCACAGTTTTAAAATATGATATAGAAAGTTCTAGAAATGAACAATTCATAGGTTTTTTAATTGCATGCCGTTCTCAGAAGCATGATGAAATTTCACACCATGTCCTGCCATACCTCTTGAGATGTAAATCATCCCTTTACCTAGCGTATCCATACTGTATATGTTATCTGCACATGAGCTACTTTGTAGCTGTATTGTCATATTAGATTGTAGTGATTTTGTTCAAGTAACCCTTATTTGATGTAATAATGGCCCCAAGACACAAGAGTAGTGGTGTCAACGACAATAAAGAAACTGTAAAAGGCTTTAAGTGAAAAGGTGAACACACTAAGGGAAAAAAAGTGTATGTTGAGGTTTCTGAGACCTACAGTAAAAATAAACCTTTTATCCATAAAATGGCAGAAAAGAAAAGAAATTTGTGCTAGTTTTTCTACCTCATCCCAAACTGCAGAAGCTATGGATAGTGCCTGTGATAAATGCTTAGTTATGACAGAAAAGGAGTTGAATTATGGGGCTTGATGCTATCTATGGTTTCAGGCATCCACTGACTATTAGAGCATATCTTGTGTATAAAGGGGGTAGGGGTGGGACTACTATACTATGTACCCTGTGAATTCACCTAACCCATCCCAAGGGGGGTGATGGAGAAATAGAAAAAGCAAAAACGAGGAGAAGATGTAGAAGAAAGAAGGTAAAACAGAACCGTACGAGCAGTGTTTCAGCTTGTTCATATCAAGCTACTTCACACACACACACACACACACACACACACACGATCTGTAAACAAGCCCTATAAGCATGTGGTGGCTTCAGTATTTACATCTATAATCAGTAATAGTCATTTTTAACGTATGATTTTGAAAAAAAACAGTAACCAGTATTAGCTTAGAAAGGCTTGCTAGAGTATACAACTAAAGAAGTTAAAAATAAAAGGCATTTGTCCTATAAAAGTGAAAGAATTTTTGGTCCAAACTAGAAGTCATTGCCTAAAATGATTTACTTTTTCGGTCCTAGGGATCAGAGCTTTGGTACTGAGCTCTACCAATGAGCTACCTCTCTAGCCTGCCTACATGTCTACATATTTGAGTAGTTTTCTTCAATATACTTCCCTTCCTTTTGGATCTAGTGTGACAATAAGTTGTCAACAGGGTGCCAGATCCAGCACTAGGGTTATAGGCAATTGTTACCTTTCTTTCATAAGTAGAGACCTAAGAAATCATAAAGGAAATATGATGCAGCAAAACAGCTTTATTTTTGTCAGCTACCATTGAAGGTTCCCCACTTTGGACAGCTGTAGTCAGTCACATGCTTCACAGAACAAAGAACTCCACAAAGGAAGAAGTTAACTCTAGCTTTGAAAATCCTTTTATCCTCTATGATTTTGATGCCTTTAAATTTGTCACCTGAATGTGATATTAACATAAGCGTCTGCATTTTCAGCTAACGAATGCACCTGCTTCTAAGACTTTATTTTAGCAGCTTTAATGAGCTCTTCAAAAGAGTTTGCTTGGACTCAATGCACTGCTAGAGAAACAGCAGCTGTAAGCAACTAACACTAAATTCAGTATTCGAATCAAGCTCTGTGAAGTTGTTAAACTTGAGGAGAACCTACCCATCTGTCTGTGAGGAGCGAAAGGAAGCTGGGCTGTAGCTGTGACAACTGGGGAAAGCACTAGCAAAAGTGGGCCTGGCCAAAGAAGCCTCATCTTGCTTGGCTGTGACATATGGATTCTCTGAAGTCCCAATTTTCTCATCTATATAATGGTATCGCCTATGAGCTGTTGTAATGGTTACATCCCTTACCTGTTACAAGCACTGAATAATGTTAGATTTTCTTTCTCTCTCTTTCCTCTCTCTCATTTTCTCTTTCTTTCTCTCTTTCTCTCGAGATAGGGTTTCCCTGTAGCCTCAGCTGGCCTGGAACTCCCTATATAGACAAGGCTGGCCTCCATCTCACAGAGACCCACCTGCCTTTTGCCAGGTGCTGGGCTTAAAGGCGTGTGCTACCATGCCTGGCCTAATGACAGATTTTCTTACTAGTATAATGTTTATTCTTAAGAAGAGAAGTGATTTAACAAAGGTCCACATACGGTCAGAATCCACTTATGTGAAATATCCAGACTAGGTAAATCCACAGAGACAGAAAGCAAATTGGTGGTAGCCAGGTTCCGGAAGGAGGGAGTGAGAACCGGGAAGTAACTGCTTAATGGATGTGGGGTTTCCCTTTGGGGGTGATAAAAATGTTTTGGAACTAGATACAAATGGTGGTTATACAATGTCATGAAGACACTAAAGGCCTCTGAATTGTTCGCTTTAAAATGGTTAATTTTGTTATGTGAATTCCACCTTAATCATAAAACAAAAGTACTCCTTTAAAAATGTGACTTTAGATGGATCAAATTCCTTGATTAACTATAGGTTCTAAGATGGTTCTTAGGTGAATAATAGCCCATCAAGACCCATACTAAGAAGCATGAATCTGATCTCTACTGAAGTCATCAGGATGCTGAATCATACCTTGATCTTCAGTGAAAATTCTAAACAGAAAGATATTAACCAATCTGTAGAAGTTCAAATTCCTAAGCAATCCAAGAAAGCCACTGAGAATTTTAAAGTATGTAGATGTTAGCACAGTGGGGTTCCCACTGCGCTAACTTAAGTAAATACCTTTGTTTTTACTGTTTAATTGAATTTCTGTAAATTGCCTACGATTTATTTTGATTGTATTTGGAGTCCTCTCCCTCTCCTATATGCAGCCCCTTAGTACCCCATCCACCCAAATATGTGTGTGTGTGTGTGTGTGTGTGCGCGTGTGTGCGTGTGTGCGTGTGTGCGTGTGTGTGTGTGTGTGTGTGTGTATGTGTGTGTGTGTGTGTGTGTGTGTGTGTATGTGCGTGTGTGCGTGTGCCTATTGTGCACCCAATGCCTTTCAGCATCAGTTCATCCACTGAAGCCTGGTCAACCTACCAAGAGTCTCACCCTTAAAGGAGGCTGACTCTCTCCCCTCTCAGCAGCCATCAGTTGCCAATACTTTCTCAGATAGGGTTGGCATTTCTTACCCATTTCCCCACATCTATGCTGGGATTTTGTCTGGCTTGAGCTTACATGGGACTTGTGCATGCTGTTACCATTGCTGTGAGTTCATATGAGTAACTTGACCAGCTGTCTGGAAAACTCTTTCCTGTGGTCATCCACCCGCTTCTGGCTCTTATAATCTTTCCACCCCCTCTTCCTCAATGACCCCTGACCCTTGGCAAGCAGAAGTTTGATGTAGGTGTCTTATTCAGAGATAAGTAATCTGCAGCCTCTTGTTCTCTGCATGTTGGCCAACTTGTTTACTTTTAATATACATTTAATACTTTATGTGCTCAAAGTTATCTGGTGATTGCTATACTTTGACTTTCAGTCACATTTGCATGATTTGTAATCTTCCTCCATTCCATATGTTCTTCTGTGTTCTTTCACTTGAAAGGTAAGGAGTAATAACCCATCCAAAACTCAGTTGAATGGAAAATGAAAAATGGGACAAGTGTTGCTCTAAAAATGCACGGAGCAGACACATTACAGATAAGGAGGTGGAAACATCCTACAGTAAGGATATCACCGATTTTAATCTCTCTCTCTCTCTCTCTCCCCCACCTCCTCCTTCCCTCCTTCCCTCTTTCTCAGGTACTTCAAAGGAGTGGTAGCTGTTAAGAAAATCTCCAATTCCCTTTTTATTCCTATTTCAACAACAGTGGAGCATATTCTGGCTGTCTGGCAGTAACTGGCTCTCTGGACTCCTCCCTTTGCACGATGTTGGTCAACAGTCTTCCCTCAGTGTTTGAAACTGGTTCACTGGTGTTTCACCCACACACCTCAATGCTGGAGAACCATTTAGGGAGTAGGTTCAGTTTAGGAATCATCACCAGCTTAAAAACAGGGATTTCTCTGGAAAGGTGCTAGTTTCTAGAATCTTCTATGCTGAGCCTTCTCGCAACCGTGCGCACCCTCACATTCTTACAGATCCTCTTTATTCAGACTGGCATGGAACATCTTTTCAGGGGACACTCAGTTCTACTCTGAGACCTCGGATTTGTAACTTGAGAAACCATCCCAACAGAGTTCACCTCCAGCCACCCTCTGGCAGTGTTCAGCCACCAGGGACTGGTTGCATATTGACAAAGACCTTGCTATGCGGCTACACTGTGGTCCTCAGAAGGGCAACATCATCACCTGGAAGCAGATGGAAATACAGTCTTGGGCCCCACCCTCAACCTGCTGCATCAGAGCCTCAGCTTACCCAACCACCAGGTGGTTTTTATCCACACTTAGGTCCAAAAAGCAGTGGTCTAAGGGATCTGCCTGAGGTTGCTTTTGTCAGTGACACAAAGTGCCATGTCCTGTTCCTAAGTTGTATCTGCGCATTTTCCACTTTGAGGCTTTACACAGACTTTTCTGCTGCGCTCCTGGGCAAGCTATCGCCATTTTAGATGAGTCCCCACCCAGTGGGCCTTACAACCATCTGTGCTTCTGGTGGGCATGCAATTATATAGTACAGCCTCCTACTAAACAAGCCATGCCCACCCCTCTAGGTCATCCTGCCCTCCTGATTCCCACAGCTCTAGTGTTACCATGTTCATAAACTGTTGTTAAAGGAGGAAATTACCAAAAGGAAAAAAAGCAGTGTCTATAAACCTGCATAGTTTAGAGCTAAAGAATATGTTAAAATTTTCCATCGTGGAAATTTCCCAGCTACTGGGCTCTTTAGATTTTTTTTTTTTTTTTTTTTCTGAGCTGCAAGCAAAGAATGGAAATTTCCAAACGCAGCATCAAGAGCTGCTGTTCTGCTGACTGTCTCGCTCAGCTGGGGTCATCTGCTTTTCTAAGACATCAAGGAATACCAAGGTAGGTCTGAGAGAACACACAGGCTTCCTCTGCAGGCAGGAAGGGATATCTGTGCTGCCTGAGAGCTGGGATGAGGGAGGGGCAGCAGAGGTGACATCCCCTGCTCCTCTACCTACCTGACTCCTTTCCAGGGCAGCTGGCTGGCAGAATTTGTTGTGTTTTGTTTGTTTTGTTTGTTTGTTTGTTTTTCCAGAAATCTCTAAGGTGGGTAGGGGATCCAGAGACATGAAAAGAACCAACATTTGCTGGGGTCTAATTTTGCAAGTATTCCATCAAATAGATACACCTGAATTTTTTTTTTTTTTTTTTGTGACAGGGTCTCATGTAGCCCAGAGTGGTCTCTAGGTATGTATGTAGCTAGCTTAGGCTGGTCTTGAACTCATAATCCTCCTTCCTTCCCCACTCCCAAGTGCTGAGATTACAGGCATATGCCACTGTCGAGTTTAGAATCTTCAGCCATTCTTCCCAAGACAACCCCCCACCCCGCCCTGCATAAACCAAGTCATCTGCAAATATCCTGCAGGTTTTGTCTCCACCTCTTCAATAATATCAACAGCCCTGTTCCTTTCCACTGTATCTATATAAAAATACATTCCCATTCACAGCTGGTCCTGCCGCTTGAGTCAACAGGCATCTAATAGTTCCCTGAGATCTGGCATGTTCCTTCCACCCACGGATGCTGCTCCTACAGAAGTTTGATGGCAGCAGCTCTGTGGAAGTTAGAGCATCAAGGCATCAACTTCCTGCAGACAAGGCCAAGGACCCTGAGTGGCTTCGGGCCAGAAAGAACATTTTCAAACCTAAGCTGTGTGGTTTTCAACTGAGTGGTTTGGGAGTTTTGTTTTTGTTTTTAGCTTTTCAGGAGATTCTTAAGAGGCAAGGGCTACCCACGAGTGCTGTCTTCTAACTGACGTCCCCATAGCACTAGGAAAAGAGCTCCTAAGGAGAGTTTTTGACATCCTTGTTGCTATTTATACATATTTGTTGAAGCAAGTTTGGTAACAGTGAAGAATTTCTAGCAAGAAACTTAAAAAAATCATCACATGATAGCTCAAACCTAAAATCCCAGTATTTGGGAGGCTGAGGCAGGAGGATTGCCACAAGTTTGAGGCCAGGCTAAGCTACACAGTGAGTTCCAGGCCAACCTGGTAAGACCTTACCCCCCCGGCCCCCCCAAAAAACTAAAGGGAAATAGGGACGGGGAGATGGCTCAGTTGGTAAAACATGTACTGAGCAAACATGAGGACAAGTGTTTAGATGCCCAGTACCCTTGCAAAAGTCAGGCATGGTATCATACTTCCATAATCCCAGTCCTGAGGAGTCAGAGACAGGTGCTTACTGGCTAGTCAGCCTAGCCGAACTGGTGAGCTCCGGGTTCAGTGAGAGACCCTGCCTCAAAAAGTAAGATGGAGAGCAACTGAAGATACTTGATGTTGACCTCTGACCTCCCCACACATACATGTACACACATGCACGAGCTCCCACACACATTCATGTGCACACACAAACTCCTACATATATCACACATACACACATAGAAACACACACAAGAGAAAAAAAATCTAAAGAGAAAAATGAGCTGGCTATGAGTGAAGTAGTTGTCCCATTGTCTGTCCCTTCAATCACATCCATATATGTAGTGGTGTCATCAGTAGTCAATTCTAATGCACGTTGGTAACAATAGTGGGTATGGAATGGTAAGTAAGAAGATTTACTGTAGGTCTGTTCAGACTTGGCCTCAAAGGCTGTTTAGTTTACTCAGTTACATCTGTGATAATGATTCGCCTTTACCTTTAACGCCTTCAAACTGAGCCTGATTCCCTGGTGAAATCTGTCAGGTGGCATTTGAATGTGGGACTGGGTCTCATGAAACAGGCCTCACTCCACTCCTCCCTCATATCTGTCATTCCCTAGAGGATAATGGGTCCCTCAGTTGGAGACATTGATGATTCATTGCTGTGGGTGGGGCTGAATAGACAAGTATGATGAATACTTTTTTCCACTCGAGACCACAGAGATGACTTTTTAAAAACTCGTGGTTGGAATACACACTGTTTTAGATGATGATTGCTTGTGATTTCAAACACAGCTTCAATTCTGTCCCTCCAGTCTCCCCGCTGCTTACAGCGTCACTTTGCAGCAGCTCTAATCAAGAACTGGGATCGATTTCCAGACCTTTTGAATCCAGGCTGGCTTTTTGACTTGCTCTGGCTTCTAGAATGTACTGGAAGTTACTGTCCTGAGTCCAAGCTGAGCCTCGAGCATGTACTTCCACTTTCTCTCTTGAACCTGCCACTGCAAACTCAGCGTAGGCCAGCAAGGATGAATGTCCTAACAGAGGCCATCCTAGGCCACCCAGCCCCAAGTCAGCTTATCAGTCTGAGTACAAACGTGGGAGAAAGGCCAGACCAACTAGACCCAGCCCAGATCAGCAGAGCCATTTAGCCAACTCACATTCAATGGGACCTGTTTTAAACCACATTTTAAGATTTGTTATGAGGGGATCAGTAAGTAACACAGAGAAGAACTCAGTCTTTGTCTCTTTGTTTCTGACAACAGGAAGTGGAGAGTCAAATTTGAAAGCAATACCAGAACAAAGTTTCTTTCCTTCCTTCCTTCCTCCTTCCTTCCTCCCTCCTTCCTTCCTTCCCTCCCTCCCTCCCTTCCTTTTTCCCTCCTTCTCTCCTCCCCTTCCTCCCTCCTTTCTTCCCTCCTGAATATTTATTGCATACTGCTTTGTGGCTAACAGATTTGCAATTTTCTTTCTACTCAATAAGGATTTCCCCCTCTCCCACGTTAGACAGGGTCTTTTTATGTAGCCCAGGCCTTGCCTAAATTCAATATCCAGACGCCTGAACATCCTAAATGCATTATAGGCTTGCACCACTATGCCCCATTTCTTAAAAGTAAATTTCTAAAAAAATTAAACCTATCATTTGCCGTGTTGGTTTTCAACTGTCTCAAGTCCTCATTTTAAATATTAGGTTTTACTTATTAAGTTAGGAAAGCTGAATCTGGAGTATCAGCAAAGATTCACTGTAAAGGACCAGCTAGGACCAGCTTTGCAGCCTAACGGTCCCTGTCAGGATGACTCTGCTTCGCTGTGGCACGCTGAAGCAGCCACAGACAACATATAAACAACGAGCATGGCTGTGTTCCAGTAAAAATTAATTATGAAAGCAGGCAGTGCACTGGGTTTGGCCCTCAGGCCAGGGTTTGCTGACCTTTGATCTAAAGCGATGTTACTATGTAGAACCATCTGCATCCATACTGTGATCTCAGCAACTTTATTGTGATTCATCTCCATCACTCTGAAAAAAAGAGAAAACAGATATACTTCTTGTAGCAGAAGACAAGAAGAGGCCTGGGGGTGTGGCTCTGTTCACCGACTGCTTCCTAGCACGCACAAAACCCAGGTTCCATCCCTAGTGCCACTTAAAACTGGGCATGCTGGCCCATGATTGTAATCTCAGCACTAGGGTGGTACAGTCAGGAAGATCAGAAGTTCAAGGTCATCTTGGCTACATAGGGAGTTCAAGGCCAAGCTGGGCTACATGAGACACAGTCTCAATAACAAGTAAAGGAGGAACAAGAGAAGGAAGGTCACGATGGAACAACATGATGGTACAGAGCCTGCCTGGGCAAGGACTACATTAAATCACACACACACACACACACACACACACACACACCTAGCCACTTCCTCCTCAACTGGTTGTTTAGTTAATGCTAAAGGCCAGAATGACAGAAGCAATGTCTCATTGGTTTTGTTTCATTTCCCAGCCTCTAATCTCCAATGCTCATTTAACAAATGCATGCTGTATGTCACAGTAAGGATGGGGCACCAGTAGTACTTTGCCTACTTGGAGTTCCCTGAGTGTATTGTGCTATTTCACGCCTCCCTAACTCTGCACACAATGTTCCCTCTGCCTGGAACACTCTTAGCCCTCTTCCCTTACTGGCTAACGCCTACTCGCTGATCAGAGCTGAGCTCACAGAGACTGCCTCTTGGAAGACTTCCCCAAGAGCACCTCCACCTCCTCGCCCTCAACCTCCGGCCACACACTCAGTCTCAGCATTCATTCTGCCAACCTAATAATTAAAGCAGAAAATGCTTCTATGGCACCAAGCACTTACTGTGTGCCAACACTGCTCTACACTGTCATTGGATTGAAATTTTCCATACCTTGTGTCTTTCCCCAAGGCAAGTATACGTTCAGAAGTACTTACTGAGTTCTTTCCAAGTGTTGACCCACCAAGATAAAGTCATTTATCGTATAGACTGTATGCCCACTGAGGGTTCCCACTGTACCCTGCCGCTCTTACAATGTCCAGAACAGACTTTAGACAAATGAAGGACAGAACACTTACACAGCAAGGGACACATTCTGGGCAGTGTGCTCAGCTCTCCACATGGCCAAACCCATTGTCACTCTATGGCATAGCTGATAGAATTATCAGCATTTCACATATCAGGAATGAAAGGCATCAAGAATTCTTTAGTAACTCCCGAGGTCATAAAGGTAGTGTTCAATAGAGCTGTGTTTACAACCAACCAACTGGATGAAGGGAGAGCCAGGGTGACTCAGCATGAATCTACTTCCATCTCTGAAGAGAGGTCAAAGGATGAGGCTTTAAGGACATTAAGTGGTCTGGTGGGGGTGAGTGGGTGCTTGGGCTTAAGAGTCTATGGGCTAACATTAACATGGGCACTCAAGTGCTTATTGTTGTGAGCAGAGATGTGGGTGGTACTGATGGTGCCTCCAAAGTTTGTGCTGTTGTCACATTTACTCAACAAACTTGAAGCCTGTGACTCAGGACAGTGCCTGGCAGCCTATGTCTGCTGTTTGAATCCTGCCTTCAGGACCTTACTATAGAACCCGCATGTTGGCCCATTCCAATAGACTCCACCAATGAATATTTTGGAAGAAGACTACTTGGAACTGTTCATAAAGCTGCTGAATCTGGCTGGGCATGGGCACTTTTTGTAAAAGCACAGTGGCCAGCTGTTCACTGAAGCTTTGGAAGTCCCCAGGGGACCTCCCAGGCTGTGCACATCTCAGTGGGGCGGACAAAGGCGGGGACATACAGTGATTGGGCTACAGCTGTCTCAGCACAGGCCTGTTCTGCTGAAAAGACAAATAACAGATCCTCAGAACAGAATTTTGCTTCTGGAACAAACAGGGGCTTGAAAAATATTAGGTCTGACCATTGGGACATTAGAAAATGAGAACAATCAGTCTCTGCAGACCCGTATTGTCCACAGTCCCTTTGAATACAAAGCAAATGAGTCAGCTCTCTCTCTCTCTCTCTCTCTCTCTCTCTCTCTCTCTCTCTCTCTCTCGTCCAACTTATGCTCCACTGGCCTCATGCATCCAAGATAGCTATGAATATGGCCTGGCACATTTGTAGATGACAACATCATGTTGCAGTGCCAAAAGTTTGGACACATGGGTTCAAGAGATGGCTCAGCAGTTAAGAGCACAGACTGCTCATGTAGAGGAACCAGATTCAATTCCCAGCACTCACATGGCAGCTAACAACAGTCTGTAACTCCAGTTCCAGGGGAATTCGACGTCCTGTTCTGATCTCTGTGGGTACGGCACAACACAGGTACACGTTCATACATGCAGACAATATACTCATACAAAAATCTAAAAATATTAAATAAAATATTTTTTTAAAAAGTTTGGGTACCCTGCAGCTGCTCTTCCCCCCAAATCAGTCCCTTCCCCTTTACATCCTTTGTAGTTAGTAAATAGGAAGAAGGGATGAGGCATTTCTTGGTGGCCTCCACTGATGGTGTAGAGGACCTAACAGTGGCCAGGAGCAGCTCCCACGGGCTTCCAGTTCTCAGTCTGAGGCACAGCAGAGGTTGGTAAGAACTCAAAGAAAGGATTGGCTGTTCTGAGCAACCACATGTCCCTGTGCACCTGTACAAAATTGTGTCCACTGACTTTCCTCTTGGTCAAGAATGAATCACAGGATTTCTCTGCAGATACTGCCTGGCTAGAAAATGTCAAAAATGTCCACTTGACTCACATTCTAAGTCACCTACACACACATTTTCAGGGCATCAGGTAGAATTTATAGTCTTTAATTTCCAATGAAAATAACCCAATCATGTTTAGATCCTGTGTTATCCAGTTTAACGCCTAATAATTTCCTGCTTGTTTCATTGTGAAAATTTGCATTTTCCCAACTAAACCATAAACTCCTTGAGAATTAAGATTGTAATTTTACTTCTTTGGGCCCCTCTACATACCAAGTATGGCACAGTACCAGATGGTCAAGGGAGGATGGGCAGAAGACAGTGTTTGGGGGGACCCAGAGAATTTCAGTGTCCCCCTGCCTCCCTCCACCTCTACCTCAGAGGAGGTCTTCAGAGCACTTAAGTCTGAGATGCAATTTCCACATCCTTAGAGCCCTCTCTCACCTCCCCGCTTGTTGGGAGGATCAAATAAGATAATGCTTGTGAAAGTATTTTGTAATCCAAGAATTGAAATGTAAGGAATCCTCAGAGAGGCACTTAGTAAATATCTGATTGATTCTTAATGATAAGGTATTGTCTTCCCTTTCCTCCTCTACAATCAGTTCCTTTAAGAGTTTTTTTCTTAAGACTTCATTTTATTTCAGTAGCAAAGCCACCTCACATCTTCCTGATAGTGTGTATTTCATCCCATAGTCACCTTAAAATTTGATTGTAATCTAAGCAAACCAACCAAAGAAAGTCACAAAGCATGCCATGGTCATGTCAATCACCCAGGACTCAGGAGAATTAATACAGTCAGACCCTATTTCAGTTTTAGAGCTTTCTTGTGCCGCTATCAGGCCACTAAAATTGTACCTTAAGCAAGAATTATGCATATTTTTTATTGTAGTACATTGGGGATGCAGGAGAGGGTCAGATCATTGCTCTAAGCCCAGTCAGCACCTTATGTGGGAAATTTCACAAAGAGGTGATACTCTAACACGGCCTGTTAGAATGATTCAATTATTTAGAGTCTTTGTTCTATACTTCTTCTTAGCAAAGAAGACACTCTCTGTTACAACAGAATCCTATGTGATACATTAGAAACAGCTTTCAAACACAGTTAATCCTCAAAAATGCTTCTAGAAGATATAAAGTTTAGTCTCAGGGCTTCTTTGCTCTTAACTAAAAAAAAAGTAGTGGAGACACTTAGAGATAAAATATGTTGTATATTCTAAAGATTAGTTTATACTTGACTCTTCACCTAATTCTCTGAGGCCAGATAACATGAAAGTAAAAATAACTAGGTTTTGTAAATGGACCAAAACAAACAACCAGAGAACCACTGACTTGATTTTGGTATTAGTGTCTCTCACTGAAATTGTTCACAGTTGATATTTTCAAATGCTTCTTGTAAAGACCAAATGAGCCTATTTTTAATAGTTAACATGCTTTAGTTAAGATTTCAAAAATATTTTATTTATTTAGATTTTTGGGGTATGATGTTTTGCCTGCATCTATGTAAAGGTACCAAGTGTTTGTATTGCCCACAGAGGCCAGAAGAGGGCATTGGATCCCCTGGAACTGGAGTTACAGGTGGTTGTTAGCCACCATGTGGGTGCTGGGAACAAAACCTGGGTCCTCTGCAAAAAGAGCCAGTGCTCTTAACTGCTGAGCCATCTCTCCAGCCCCATGAGCCTATTTTTATTCCAAGTGTAATCAGAGTATGAGCCAAGGACTTATAAGCAGGATTGAAACGTGGTCAAAGTATTGAACTTGGGCTAGTTTTGAACTCTTGATAAAGTTATTATGAAGCCCTCTTGAGGGGCTTGTGCTCCAGAGAGGAATTAATCTAAACTAGTTTTCTGAAACTCCATTTATTTTCTTTTAATAATCTTCCAGTACGGAAAGTGTTAAATATACCCAAAGGTAGAAAGGATAGTAAAAATAAGCCAAGATTTTCTTGTTATAAATCCAACATCCAGCTTTAACAACTGTAAACATGCAGCCATCTCATGTTTGTTTTTGAGACCGTCTCCCTATGTAGCCCTGGCTGGCCTGGAACTCCCTATGTAGACCAGGGTGGCCCAGAACTCCCTATGTAGACCAGGCTGGTCTCAGACTTGCACCAATCCTCCTTTTCCTCTTCCAGCTTGCTGGGATTACAGGTGTTCAGTACCATGTCTGGACTTTGTTTGGTTATTTTTAGTACCGGGGAAGGAACCCAGGGCCTTGTGCATACTAAGGTGTTCAGTACCATGTCTGGACTTTGGTTATTTTTAGTACCGGGGAAAGAACCCAGGGCCTTGTGCATGCTAAGCATACACCTTGCCACTGAGTATACCCTCTCAGCACCCCTGAAGCTTCAATTTTAATAGACATTGGTAGTGGCTGGGGGAATTAGCCTCATTCTGTAATACACCAATACATTTTAATGTTCAAATGTGATAGCAAGCTTATGCTTCTCCGTTTTTCTTTAATCACTGTATTTCAACAAGCACTTTTCTTTCTCACTCTCACAGCTTTTCTACTTCTCCCGAGGCTGAAAGGAGGCCAAGATCTTTTCATAATCAAACCAGAAGGAAAAATACCAAAAAGGAGGAGAAACAGTGGCTCTAAATTTTACTGATTTATTAATCATTCTCTCATGACACCATGACCTCTCTACCCGAAGAGTTGAAGAAGACAGTGGTGATAGGAAGGCAGCCATTTCCAATGGCTGAACTGGTTCTTTATTCCTATGCCCAACAACAGATGGTGAGTGACAGATACTATAAGGGGGTCACGCTGAAATCCAAATAGTAAAGGGAGAGAACACCAGGAACACATATCACAACCCAAATATTTTAAGGCCAAGAGTTTCTTATACACAATAGATTTATTTATTTCATATGTATTACTAAATGTTTTTGCAGAGTACAATTTACTGTATAGAAAGATCACTCAAAGATTTATCAAAGTCTATACCAGTTTACAGTCAAATTGTTCTTATAAGAGACCTAGAATAATTTAAGAAAGAAACAGATAAGAATAGAGAGGTTGGGTAGAAGTTGTATAGCTTTAATAAAACTTTGGTTTCTTCTTTTATACTGTTCCCTGTGGTATCAACAGCAGCATTCCTATCTAACTGGTGACACTTGCACCGTTTGCTTAATTTTAGGATCCTTGATTGCTCTCGGGAACAAGCGCACTGCTGTGGCATGAAGTGGAAGGTGTAATTTGGAACCAGACAAGAGACAAAAGACTTCTTTCACAAGTAATGCATTCACAGAAATGTAGTGGGAAAAAGATAATTTCACCAAGTAATCTAAAGCTACACTTCATATGCAAGTTCCTGAACCATAACCAAGTGTATACAACTTAAGCCTTTCATGGAAGAAAGTTTCAATCTCTTTAAGAACAAAGGCAGGGCCGGCAAGATGGCTCAGTGAGTTAAGATGTTTGCCATCAAGTCCGATGACCTGACTTTGATCCTTGGTGCCCAAATGGCAGAAGGAAAGAACCAACCTGTAAGTCGTCCTCTGACCTACACACACACACACAAAAGAAATAAAACAATTTTTTTTAAAAATCAACAAACAAGGGTAATGGGTGATATGGTATTGGTTTGAATGTGACATTCCCCTCATGAGTCATGTGTTCAAACACTTGATCTCCAGTGGTGGTGCTGTTTTGGAAGGTGTGGAGTCTTTAGGTGATGGGGCTTAGCTAGCAGATGACGAGGGGTGGGCCATTGAGGGTTACTCCCATCTAAGGTGCTGGTCTACCTCTTGGCTTCTGGTCTGCTGCCACCACATGATCAGCCAGCACACACTCCTACTGCCATGAACTCCATCGTGTTTTCCCTGCCATGATGGACTAGAACTTTAACACAAAATAAACCTCTTCCCAATTAGGTGGCTTTTGTCAAGTACTTTTTCACAGCTACAAGAAAAGCTAATACAGATAGCAAGCCACAGAATGTCATACAATATTGTTTTACCATTCCCAATGGCTTGTTTTGCATTCAGTAGAGAATTAGAGGTATAAGGTTAAATACCTAATATATACCTACTATATTTCACTCCTGTGCGAGTGTTTTATTTGGTGTGTGTGTGTGTGTGTGTGTGTGTGTGTTTAAAGATTCACTTATTTTTATTTTATGTGTAGGGATGTATGTGTACCATGTGTGTGCCTATTGCCTGAGGAGGTCAAAACCCCCAGATGATTATGAGTTCCCATATGGGTGCTGGGAACTGAACCTCAATCCTCTGCAAGAGTAATAAGCTCGTAACTGCTGAGCCATCTCTCCAGCTCCTTGTTTTTGAGATAGGGTCTCATACTATAGCTCAGGCTGGCTTTGGTCTTGAACTCACGTCAATTCTCCTACCTTAGCTTCTGGAGTACTGGGTTTATAGACATGGTTCCCTGTGGCGAAATTCTGGGAAAATAGCTGTCCTTTTTTCTCCATTAGGTAGATCTGGAAAAGAATCTGAGAACTCAGGGCAGGGCATCTTAGCTGGGTCAGACAGGGATCATTTCTAGATCCATGTAAGGGTGTTGGTGAGGTATTTGTAGCTGTCTGCTTATGAGGTTGAAGGAAATGAGGAGAATGAACTTCATTAATTATCACATGCCACCAGTGACCTTATCTATTATGTCACTATGGAAAAACTAAATTATGTTTCTTCCTCGCTGACTGCAAATGTCTAAGATACAGGTACATGGTTAGATAAGAAGGTATCTGCTTATTTAAGAGAAAACAGCTCTAATGGGAAAATTCTCTACTTTATAGGAACTAGCTAGGAAAATGATCCTGTCAGTGAACCTAAGGAAAAGGGGAAACAATACAAAAATAGTACACGTAAGATGGAAAGAATGGGAATAAATACACTTGAATGAGTTTCTCTTTCAGTTGAGCTTAAGGGGCTGGAGAGATGGCTCAGTGGTTAAGAGCTCTGACTGCTCTTGCAGAGGACGCAGGTTCGATTCCCAGCACCCACATGGCAGCTACTAACTGTCCTTAACTCCAGTTCCAGGGGAATCCGAAGCCCTCTTCTGACCTCCGCAGCATTGCACGACACGGGTGCACTCACATACATACAGGCAACACACTCATACACAAAAAATAAAAACAGTAAAATATTTTTTTAAAATGGAGCTTAAAATATTGACAGGTATAAGGAAATTATCTCAAAGAAAGTGACAAGAAATGTTAGGAAATAAATGATTACAGAGACATATGTATGCCTGGAAAATCTAAAAGCAGGAGAAGCAGTATTAATGTCAAATTCAAGGCCAAATAATGAAAGTATAAGGCAGAGACTCAGGATGTTACACCAGGTCAGTTTGCCTCGGTGGCAATGTGCCCACATTTAAGAACAGTCACTTTTCCCTTTCCTTTTCTTTTCTTTACAGTGCTGGGGACTGAACTGAAGGCCTGTGACTGCTGGGCTACCACTGAGCTACAGCCCCAGCCCTCCAGTCTTTCCAAATTAGAGGCAGGCAGTGGGTGGAACCTGCTAAGGTTGAATTCAGCTGGAAGCTACTCCAATTAATATTCTTCTTTGTCCGCTTCGTGATTGGAATGCATCAGTGGTAGCTGGAGCTGGAGGAGCCATTTTGTAAGTATGACTTGGAAAATGAGTACCACATATTAAAGGTGGCAGAATAGGACCAGAAAGCTGCATTTAGGATGACCATGGAAGCAGCAAACCAGCCCCAGACATCCTATCTCCGAGTATCTTTGAGGAAAATATGTCTCTGTTTATTTTTTTTTATTTTAATTTAGTTTAACTTAACTATTATTATTATTATTATTATTGTCTTTTTGAGACAGGGTCTCCCTGGAACTGGCCTGGAACTCCCTATGGAGACCAGGCTGGCCTCGAATTCACAGACATCTGCCTGCCTTTGCCTCTCAAGTGTTGGGATTAAAGGTGTCACTATGCCCAGCTTTTATCTCTATTTAAGCCGCCATTCTTTGATTATCCTTTTATAGGGAAGGAACCTAATTCTGGTGACATAAATAGAAATAAGAAATAGTATTAATAATTGTCAGTTCTTTGCACTAAAGTCAATTCAATTTGCACAAAAGTCTTAACAATAGAAAGACAAGGACTATTTGAAGATATAACAATCAGCACTAAAATGGTAGATTTTAATGTACTCCTTTCAGAATTTGATAGGGTATGACATGAAAAACAAGTAATAATATATAGAACAATTGTGATATAATCTAAAGCTATTATCCACATGTGGACGTGAGTATATGTTTCTGATTAGCAAACAGTATATAAACCATAGACTTATATCATACAAGAAGGGAATATGTAACCTTTTTATATGGAACATTTACAAAATCAATATAACTTGGCCATAAAAGATGAAGCATATTGTTCTGCAGGGGGCAGAAGAGGAATGTGTGTGTCCTCCAGTTTGCTGGCAAAGTGACCTTGGGTAAGTTGTTGAACATTTCTGGACTTTGTTTCTTAATCTACTGAGTGGGGAATTATTACTGTTAACAGTCACGAGTTTTTATCTTTTTATCATTATGATTCCTCCCAGCCTAGCATTTTCCAGCCTGATGCTAGTGTGGCAAGTCACTAGCTCTATGTAGAGGAGCCAGGCCATCTGATGGCCATCCGAAGGCTGTCATGCTTCACACAGAAAAAGCCAGCAGCAGGCTAAAAGGTTAGCATTTCTCAGATTGGTCCCAACAGAGCAGGGAACACAGGCTGTCTACCAGAGTTCAAGGGCACCGAAAGAATGTTAAATGGATGGGTTGTTACTCACAGGAAAAGAAACAGGCACCATGTTTCCAACTATTCTTCATCTCAGACAACAACTAGCTGTTTCCACGGGCTGGTGCAGTTGCTGGATGGGGAACACTATTGAATAAACCCTGCTAAGAGAATGAATGTGGCCAGTGAATTTTTTGGACACAGCCCCAGCTATATTTTTGCTTCTTGCTGGCAAGATAACATGAGGGACAGTAGGAAACAATTGACAAAAATGTTGTAAATAAGGTTTAAAGGACAAGACATCTTCATAACCCCCAAAATATAAACGTTTTATACCAGTGAGGAGCATCTGGAACATACGGTATTACTTCTTATTTTAGCTGTTGGTTAGAGCAACAACAACAAAAACACTAATGAAAATCTTCCTAGATTATCACAAAATTAAAATATTGAAATGTTTAAACACTTGAAAATGGGCACGTAGTGAGCCAGGCTTATACTGCCAGCTAGTTGGGAGGCTGAGGCAGGAGGGTCACTTGAGCCCAGGAGTTCAAGGTTAGCCTGGGTAACACAGTGAGACTTTGTCTCAAAAACTGCCACCACATCCACCCACAAAAATAGGTAAAGCTGGAAGGGCATGGTGGCACACACCTTTAATTCCAGCACTCAAAAGACAGAGGCAGGCAGAGCTCTATGAGTTTGAGGCTAGCCTGGTCTACATAGCAAGTTCAAAGTCAGCAAGGGCTACAGAGTGAAACCTTTTCTTAAAAAAAATATGGTAAAGACAAGGTAATACTGATGTAAACAAATAGTCCAATTTATGAAAATGCGACTCCATTAAGGGTACTGTTCATTGTATATCTAAAATTATTTCATATAAGCAAATCATAAAGCTACATATGTTATAAACTAGAAGTATGCAACACCTTGACCAAATTAAGTATAATAAAATATTGATTGTATTAAAAAATAAGTTTTGCTTCGGAACTTAGAGGATGAGCAGGAATGAACTGAAGACAGCAAGTTCCCCAACTCATTTTGGGTCATAGACCATGGAGAAACTGGCTGACATCATGTGGGGCTAAATAGGGTGTTTGTTCCTTTTTTTCTGGGGACCTGGGGCAGCCTCCTCAGAGGAAGTCTGTGGTTTACATACAGTTGTATGTTCTGTCTCAGACATGTGTATGTAATAGAAACGCTGAGGAGACAAGGTTTCTTTTGGGGGGGAGAGGGTGGTCCTAAATATTTCCTATTTGGTTGGTCTTAATTTTTCTTTGTATTAGTTTAAGGTATCTCTTTTAAAATTTTGTATAGGATTGCAAACTCAGTTCCCTTTCACTAATTTCTGCACTTATACAGATCCTGGGCTGGAAAGATAGCTCAAGTGGTTAAAAGCACTCGCTGCTCTTCCAGAGGACCAAGATTCGATTCCTAACACCCATATGGCAGCTAACAACCATCTGTTATGCCAGTTCCAGGGAATCTGATGCCCTCTTCTGGTCTCTGCAGGCTTTGCACAACACGAGTGCACTTACAGATATGCAGGCAAGACACTCATAGACATAAAATAAAATAAATCGATCAAAACAACCCCAGCAGTTGTATGGCTGAGGTAGGAGGATTGCTGTGAGTTCAAGGCCAGCCAGGACTACATAACAAGATTTAGTCTTGGGAGGGTGGAGAAAGAAGGAAGGACAGAGGGAGGAATGGAGGGAAGGAGGGAGGGATGGAGGGAGGAGGAGGAGAAAAAT